GAAACACTGTCATACCTATGCAGTATATATATTAAAAGACAGCTTGTACTGTATCTTATCTGATGTTTATTTTCTCTACCAACCTGTACAGTAAAAGGAAAAGAAGTCTCATCTGGTCGTTGGCATTTGTATCGTCATCCTTTGTAAGACAAAAGATTACACACAGAAGAAATGTTAGCGTCTAAAGTAACAGCTAAAGTCCACAACTCTCCTGATGCACCTCCTTGTTCTGATTTTTGCTTTTATTCTGCTTGAGGTCTTCTCGGAAGTTATAGGCAAAGAGCTGTGGGTCTTCGTCACACATTTTCCGGTAAACATTACAGAGGCTCTTAAAGTGTGTGAGAGAGAGCTGACAGGGCCGGAGAGTGGGGTCCACTTCTGCCAACTGCAGCAGTTTTCCAGTGCTTTCTAAGCGTTGAGCTTCAGGGAATAACATTCTGAGGGAAAGAGAGAAAAAATATAGGGATTTTATTGAAGAAATTCTGAGTCATGATGCTTCCTTCTGCCCGCACTTGAAATGGCACATTCAGGACAACTCCTGCGTGGGCGGGGGTGGCAGAGGCTCCCTGTGTCCTGGGAGACTGCACCCTGCGGAGGAGGACGTCCAGTCACATCACTGAAGACCAGCCACTACAGGTGGGCCTGGTCTGACCGGCAGGTGACCTCACCCGTCCACGGTGGGAAAATATTTCCCAGAGCTAAAACAAGATTGGTATCTTGAAGGTAAGTTTAAAGTAACATCTACTCAGCTGCATTCTTGTAAAATATGAGTTTGACTTGCCTCAATTTTGATATGAAGGTTGTCTATTATTTCTTGTGTGAAATGAGACAGTTTTGATTCTCTATAATTTGAACTTAGCGGCCTTTAGAACTTTTCACCCCGACGTAGTGACCTTTCTTGGCAAAGTTAGAAAGCAGCTGATGTGAAAATATAAAGTTATTCCCCTCTTTAGGGTATTTTGAAGCCTTTTGTATGAATAGTCTTAAAAGTAATTCAAGGTATGCAGTTCACATTTTGTCTGACCAAATCGATCACTGTTTTAAAACGACTCATGAGCCTGACTGATGGAAGCACTGCAGAGCTACTCTGGGATTCTGTTTTCTTCTTCCAAGTCCCAGAAGGGCTACAGAGCTCACCCCACAGGGCTTGAGTGGAGATGAGTTTTTCTTCCAGGCTGGTGTTTCCCTCAGCAAGGAACGGCATGCTCCCCACACTTTCAGGGGGATGGAACTTACTTAGATATTTGCGTTCAGTTTCATGGCAAGGAGGGCCTGGTCACGGTTAGAAACCGTGCCAATTTGGTTAGAAACTGCCAATTTGGTTAGATGAAATGTGAACTGCATACTTTGAATTACTTTTAAGACTATTCATACAAAAGGCTTCAAAATATCTTAAAGAGGGGTATAACTTTATATTTTCACATCAGCTGCTTTCTAACTTGGCTGAGAAAGGTCACCATGTTGGAGTGAAAATACCACTATGCTGGACTGAAGATACCAGCAGGTTGAAGTGGGGCACAATAGTTGGTCCGTATCTTCACAGGGGACTGTGGGACTGAAGTGTCAGGTCCCCTCCCTCAGCTGTGGGGTTGCCTTGGAAACGCTAGGGCCAGCTCTGGGCTCAGGCCAATTCCAGGGTTT